ATGGGCCATCTATACCATGGCTATGTTAGATAACCAAAGGGTACATTCCATTAAAATCACCATTTTGTTGGTTAAACCCCATTAAACCACCATTAAACCACTACATGTTTTATTTTCCCACATCTTTCGCGTCTTTGTTGGCTTCGTTCAGCCCGAGTCACTCGAGATGTCCACCACTCGCAGCTTTACCATCTCCTTCCGGCGTTCTATGGCCTGGAGTGGCGGAGGAAGCACCGGAGGTTTTACCCAGAAAACGGGTGTTTTTGGTGGTGTTTTCTCCAGGGATTTCCAGGAAAACCTGAAGGTTTAAAGGCTTAAAACCAACAAGTTATCAGGTTTTTTAAGGTACATTGACTCAAAAAAAAAGGTAGAAACTAGCAATAAACTTGTTGATTCAAGCGACAATGGATATCACAATCAGAAAGTAAACGGGAAAATCAATGCACATGGGATGCCATTGGCCACGGGATGCCATTGGCCACGGGATGCCAAGTGATGGAACCCTCATTCCAGCACACCCTCGTAGCTGGCAGCACCCAATTTGGATCCCATCCTCCCATCAACGCCCCCATAACCAAACATGGCAATAAGAAATCCCCTATAATATATCTACAAACTATAAATGGCCACTTTCTGAAAAAGCCATGTGGGATTTGCCATTGTCATCTTTGCCAATATGGCTCCAGATGATCGCCATGGCTTTGGGGCCCCAGGGGCCCCAACCACCAGCAAGGGAGGAATCATCAGCAGAACCTTGGTGTCATTGGCACAAAAAGGTCATAGGCAAAATGCTGTGGATTTCGGGGTGCCCTTTTTTCAGACCCATTTTAACCAATTCGACAAAAACCTGCTTAAACCCAGTCTTGAGTCCCAATTTTTCCGTCCTGGTGCAAAAGAGCCTCAAAAAACTAAAATCAGTAATTACTGAGTTTCCAGCTAAAAAGAAGGCACACATCACACAAAGGCCCATGAACATCCTGCCAGAGTCGAATTCGCATGGAAGTCGCCGCAGTGTCATTTAGGCGGGCTGAAACTAGTGGGTGGTTGATAAGAGTTCCCAGGTTGATGATCTGAATTGACCCAAATTGAATTCAGTAGTCGTTCAAACATACAACCGGTATTTCAAGTCTAACTTCCCAATTCTTGAAGTCGGGATGTTGCTACGTTCGCCTACCCATTTCGGGGGATTATTTCTTGGGGAATTGAATCCATAAATATTGTACATAATCCGTCCATCTTTTCACCATGGAAAAAATCACCCAGATTTAGCCCGAACATCATCCAGTAGATAAGTACCGGTATTTCCTACAACTATAGTACACGGGTTTGTCTGAACAGTGGGTGTCAAAAAAATCGGGTGTTTGATCAATGTTTCCCATTTGAAAAACGATTTTGGGTGCATGCTCCATCTTCAGACACACCCACCTCCATAGTTCATTGATTAAATGCGGTTCAATCACCATTTTGGTGGTTGGTTCCTAATTGTTCAGTATTTAACATACGTAGAGAAATGTTGGAAGATATATACTCTCCTGTAATCAAACATGGCTAGCTGCGGCTAGCTCACCCATTTAGTTGGATCATTTTCCCAGTTAGAAACCTTCATTTTTTGGGATTGCCCAGCCTGTCCAAAAAATCTCTGCTGCAGCCGCTATCATCTTAGCCTCTGGTAAATTGCCATAGACCCTGAAAATAACCAATTCTAGTGGAAACAAATCATCCAACCCCTATCTGGCAGAGTTTATGTACTGCAGGGTAATGCGCGCACATTTTTTGTACCTTCCAAGCAATTGGGAGGCAAGTGTGATGCAGCCTCAACCATCACCTTAATAGCTAAGCGCCAAGGTCAAGGGGTCTCCGAATGCTCACCAAAAATCACAAAACAATCCATGTCAACGAATGGGTCTAGGGTGGGCCAACGAATATATGCAGGATTATGCAGGAAATTTGGTGTTGTTTCAGATGTTTTGTATTTACGAAATATGGCAGTTTCCGAAGTAATTATTCCCAGCAACTTTATCCGAATGAGTTTAGAATCTGAGCCTGACGGATCCAGATCATCCCAGTTAGCGGGAAAGGTTCGTACATGTTAGACACCAAATGTCATGGGTTATGTATGAATAGTATCCAAAAAACTAGAACAAGTACCCTAAGCTAAACGTTTACATAGATGTGGTGTTTTCCCACCATTTAAATCAGATTATGTTCCTATAGAAACCATGGGTTTTCATGGGTTTTCCAATGTTTTTTGTTAGTTTACCCTATGGTAATGTATCTTGGGGGGTGGTTTTCCCATTTTTTCCTGGTGAGATCCGCTTTCAAAATCGCCAAACGCCAGGGAACCGTTTCGAAACGCTCCAGACCGCCCTCGCACAAGCAGGAGAGTGGAGGCACGCTGTAACGATGCACATATATGCATCATATATGATAATATTTGTAAATATGTGTATATGATATTTATATAGACTTATTATATATATATATATACATATACACATACATACATTACATTACACTACGCTACATTACATTACATTACATTACATTAGATTACGTTACGTTACGTTACATTACATTAGATTACGTTACGTTACGTTACATTACATTACATTACACTACACTACACTACATTACATTACATTACATTACAGTACATTACATTACATTACATTACATTACATACATACATACATACATACATACTTGCATTACATTTCATTTCATTACATTACATTACATGCCATACATACATACATACACTACACTACACTACACTACATTCCATTGCATTGCATTGCATTACATTACATTACATTACATTACATTACCATACATACATACATTACATACATTACATTACATTACATTACATTACGTTACGTTACATTACACTACACTACATTACATTAAGTACATTACATTACATTACATTACATTACATTACATTGCATACTTACATACATACATGCATAAATACATTACATACATTACATTACATTACATTGCATTACATTACATTACATTACACTACACTACATTACATTACATTGCATTGCATTACATTACATTACGTTACATTACATTACACTACACTACATTACATTACATTAAGTACATTACATTACATTACATTACATTACATACATACTTACATACATACATGCATAAATACATTAGATACATTACATTACATTACATTGCATTACATTACATTACATTACATTACACTACACTACACTACACTACATTACATTACATTGCATTGCATTGCATTGCATTACATTACATTACATTGCATTACATTACATTACATTACATACATACATACATACATACATACATACACACACACATACATACATACATACATACATTACATACATACATGTTATATATACACATTTTAAATATATACTTAGTGTATAAATATATATATATATATATATATGTGTGTATCAAGAAAATCCCAATGACTCATTGATGTACAATGACTCACTTTGCCACTGGCTTAAATTGTGAGGATGCATGCTTTGATAAAATGAATCATTTGACTTTCAGCGTGTGTATCTCGTTTATTTATGTGCAATTGTTGGAAGCACTTGGTACAATATAATATTTAATTGTCCAACCTATCTAGCTTTCTCTCTATCTGTCTATCTATCGATCTATCCATTGGTTGGTTGATGTATCTCTCAACTATATATGGTATGCATGTCTGACCAACCATATATTGCGTATTTATTTGTATATAAATATAAACAAAGTATATAAAAATAATATTATATAATCCCCCTTATAATTAGACCCGGAAGCCAGGTCCGCCAGTTTATTTTAAAAAAAAGAACTATAAAATAATGCCCCTCCTTGTAAAATGGCAATTCCAATATACCATCCTTATAACTTGAGAGCAAGCAGGGGCGGACGAAAGGTAGTGTAGTGGGAGAGGAGAACGCCGCGCCCCTTTTGTTCAGCACTGGCGGGAGTGTCGGGAGGCGGCTGCAAAAGCAAAGCTTCCAGTCTGCTTTTTATCGGTTTACTATAGGCCGCCAAATTCAAAGAGCAGTGCAGAAGCATGGCTTGTGTGAAAGGCAGTGAAGTCAGCGCAGGAGCATGGACTTGGAAATGAATTGGGTGAAAGAATCTTGCTCAAACTATGCTCCAGCGATGCCTCGCAATGAGACTGAAAGGCTGCCGTTGAAGTAAACTCATCGCCATATCTTATTAGAGATCAGGAGGTCTTGTTGCTACTCTGCCACCATGAAAGCTCTGAGGATGTCGTTGTCGTTCATATTATATTCCAAGCTAGCCTCTAAAACTGCTTGCTTGTTGAGGTGTGAGTATGCTATGCTGCAGGCATTCCTTGCAATGGAAGTGAAGACTACAGTATATATCTAAGATCTCCTGGTTACTGCTCTGTACTGCAGTACGTCATGTAGCTGACCGCTCGGGCCACATGCAGCTGTGCTGATGCCATGCTCCAAGGATGCTTCGCTGCGGGAAGCACCACAAAGTACGATTCACGATGCGAAGTTCAAACGCTGCAAACTAAGGACTGGTAGGTCCGGTTGCATACGATAATGTTCCACTAGACGGCTGTCAGTGCAGGAGCATGGACTTTGAAATGACTTATTGGTGTCTGATGCTGCTCATCCGTTGAGTCTTGCTCAGACCATGCTCCGGTTGTGCTGCACAATGAGACTGTGCAAATTTCAAACATGGTGGCAGTGCAGGAGCATGGGCTGGGAAATCAAATGGTGTGAAAAATCTTGCTCATGCCTTGCTCCCACCATGCCTCCCAATGAGACTCAAACGCTACCGTTGAAATACTTGCAAGGTGGCATCGACAACTGCCTCGAGATATCGTCGCAACCACGCAGACGTGTGGCTACTCTAAAGCACTCTGTAGTTGTGACAACTGCATTGACTCAAGAGGATCTTTCTTATGTCAGATTTGAGGCCACCACCACGTCATGGATCGGCTGCTGCTATCCCAGCGCCATTTAAAGCTGGCAAAAAGCTCCTTCCACCACTGCTTTGGGCTGCTGCACGAAGTTTCCTGCCACTGCTGCATCCATGGGCTCGGATGTACTTTTCTCCTGCGAGGGGAAGGTCCTTCATGAGTTCCCAGAAATCGTGAGCCGCCCTGTGCTCTCTGTGCAGCCACTCACTGTGATGCAAAGGTGGGGACTACCTCCAGGAGCAAGAGCTTCTGCCAAGCGAAGTGATGCATGATATCCCGTGTGGATTTTCAAGTCCCAACCCGGGAACTCTTGCCGTAGTAGAGCACGGGCAACTTGCAATCTTCGGTGAACATCGGGTACAACTTCTGCACGTGATACATGCTGAACCCATACAAATGGCTCAGGCCATACTGCAGGCCATCCGAGCCTCCACAGTAGAGGCACACTCTCCATGACGGAGATGTCCCTGTAGTCCAGCATAGCTGGCATGCTTCAGCCCTAGTAACGGTTGCTCCAAGGGGTCTTAAAAAGGGGCTTTAAACAAACCCCTTTTCGTGCATCATTTCACGCTGCGCAAAACACATCAAAACACTGTATCACGCAAGATTTATTAACAAAAACTCTTCCAAAGACCAAATCCAACAAAACATTGCAATTCCTACGCGTTTTACTAAAAAGGCTCGACTTTTCAAATCAAGTGCTCCCCAGCTATTTACGATGATTTCCAAATATTAGGCACGACTTTAGCATTCCACTGTAAAATCATCTTAGACTGCGCAAAACCGTTGTTGGTGTATCATCTCAAGCTGCACAATACAATACATTGCGGCTTATGATTACGCAGGTATGTTCTGCATAAAATCAGGTTCGACTGTGTCAAATATTATATTGCCAAAAACAATCGACAAAGCCTAAATCCCTGTCACTAAAATAAGGGATATTAAGAGGGGGATTATATATATATATACATATATCAAATGTGATGCACTGTGGATGTATGGAAACAGAGATGGACACATGGCAGAACGACTCTAATGAGTGCAAATTGGTGGCTTCTCAGGGTTCATCAGCCCATCTGCCACCTGATATTGTTTCATCGGCTCTGATTAAGTCCCAACATCAAGTCCATTCAAGTCCGGTGATCTAGGTCATTATGTTTTATACCAGCCCCCAGAAAAATAAAAACAATGATTTATATATAATTTAAATTATATTACCCTCCGGTGATTTTATTATGTTACCCTCCCGACGGTGAGCGTGTTGCCATTTGTTCTTGGATTTTCTTAAGGAACTGCTTCGATTTCCCAGTCATAGTGGATCTCGCGTTGAAAATAAGTCAAATCATCAGCAAATCGCATTTTTTAGCCCCAAAAAAGGATCGAACCATCAATATTGACAATGACATATTCACCCCATAAAAAGATCGAAAAACAAAAGAAAGAAAATGCATCACTCTTTATCGCTATTTTAGAGTATTTTAGTAGGGTTGTACCATACTTGGAGGATCACCACGCGACTCGTAACTGTTTAGAAACTGGGATTAGTTTACCTATTCGTAAATGGGATATCCCGCTTAGAGGACTTACTAACCAGAGTTATGAACCACTTCCGAAGTGGCTTGTACCCTTATGTTATCACTATATCACTATTCTATTACCATGGTTTTCCCTTTGATTGTGCCATCATATGTTATCACTATGGTATCAGTTTAAAATCATGACTGGTTGGTGGTTTCAACCCCTCTGAAAGAATATTAGTCAATGACAGTCAATGGGAAGGATTATCCCATATATTGTGGAAAATAAAAAATGTTCCAAACCACCAACCAGATGATGCATCACCCTGGTACCGGAGTCCTAAAAAATCGATCATAATCGGGCTCACCTCACGGGGCGAAGTGCCCAAGGTGCTGATGACCTGGGAATGAAACAGCGACGGGATGGGGGAACGTTTGGGCAGTTGGGGATTCACGATGCTTTCATGGAGATATCTATTGGATTTTATGGGGATTCATTGGGATTTCATCAGGATTTACGGAGATTTATTGGGATATCATGAAGATCATGGAGATGTCATGGAGATTCACCTATCGGAATGGGATGTTATTTGCCAGTTCTCCGGGATGAACCATAGAGAAAACGAAGGTTTAACCAACAAACCTGGGTTACTAAGGTAGTTAAAGCTTCATTTTTATTGCGTGGTAACCAAAAAGAACACTTGGGTACGCTGCCCCTGTTTGCTCAGTTGTCTCTGATACTGAGGCTACCTGTAAAGCCATTTCTATGTATAATCATACCCGATAACCCAGGAAGTACAACATCTCAAACATGACCTATGAATATCTATCTGTTTGGTGGTATACCTACCCCTCTGAAAAATATTAATCAGTTGGGATGATTATTCCCAATATATGGAACAATTAAAAAATGTTCCAAACCACCAACCAGCTATTACTGGTATCAACTCAAACCTGTATGGCAACCCCGACAAAAACAGAAACAATCCCTGCATGTTATAGATAATTAGATGATAATGATGCTTCCTGTTTCCCACATAACTTCAGGTTTCCAACCTTTTCGGTTTTTTTCGTTTGTGCTTGAATAATCTATGGCCAATCTTAGATATATACCTTGCATGATTTCTTAGTTGGTTAGATTGATAGCATGTGTTCGTTTTCGTTTAACAAAAAGGACGAACAAAGTACAGATATATTATACCATAATATTGTTTCCATAAACAACTAAAAAACAAACAGTACAAGACAAAGTAGCCGTCCAGGGTTTGTCCAGACTCTACCAAACCAAACTTCACCAAGTCACTCTGCGGTATTCCTTGCACTTCTCGATGCCAGCTGGCACGGCATGACTGGATGAAAAAGGTGAAATTGTTCAATAGAAGCATGTTGAACTTACAAAAAACATCAAAAAACAAAGCAGTGAAACTACTTTATATAACCAGAAGAAAATGTGAAGATTGTAGTATGGAAGGGGAACTTGGCTCTAACAAATGGGATTTGACCGACAAACACTTGGGATTTAGCGAATGAAAAGATGGATTCAACCAACAAAAGCCGGGATCAGAGGTATGACCAAAGCGTATTGGGCGTTAACTAATGCACATCTTGAGTTTTAAGGCAAACGTTTGGAGATACTGCCTTAAATAGATGGTTCATGCTAAAAGTGAAGGCGTAGTGACCCCTTATACCTCATCAACGGTGAGTCAACGGATGTACAACGAAGAAAACGGAAATCGACACGGTACAAAGGCAACAGTTCAGCAGATTTTGAGGTCTTTAGAAGCCAACAAACATGGCATCAAAGTTAAGGACTGCTTGATATCTACATGATGTTTTTGAAAATTGAAATCATCGAATAGATGTTCCTGTCCTTCAGGTGCTACTTTTCAATGCAGCATATCACTAGTTGCTCAATTTCGGAGCTTATGCTGCATCTTGGATCTTCCACCAAGCGTCATCAAACAGGTAAAAGGTGGTGTCGTCGTTAGCTAAGTCAGTTTATAGGGGTCGGATCCCCACTCCGATGTATTTCAGCGATGTTAAAGAAGTAGCTGCGTATTGTATGGGATACTCGGATGCTCCATTATATCTTGCATCAATTTTCAACATAGGTGTTCTGTCTGTTAGATTTATATCAAGTATACATAACATAAGTGTTTATGCATATCTAGAATTATCTAGATGCTGTAAATGTTAGTCTAAATTAAAAGACCAAGTCACTTCTTTCGACCTCTAGATAGGCACTAGATAACTCAAGAAACACCACACTATTGAACGAATCTCTACTATATCATTCCAAGATCATATGTATATCTATGTATATAATATATATATATATATAAATTATATATATATATAAAACCGTTGTTGAAAAATGCTGTATAAATACTCACCTC